ATCGGGGCTCTTGGGAGGTCTAGAGGCCCAGAGAAGCAAGAGACATTCCCATGGTGGGGATGGCTGTTTGGAGGTGACAAAAGCATGTCAGACCTTAGAGGAAGTAGTTGTAGACTGCTGAGCAAAAGTCTCCCCACCATATGAGTGGAATGTTTCATATGCATTCTTTTTTGGGGGACCCAATGCTTACTGAAGTATTTTCCATTTTGGAGTTCATTGACCTACTGAAACATAGTAGGTTAATCTGCTCTGTGCTCCCCAGCAACAAAGGGCATTTACTTTGATTTCTACGTGTTATTTCTTCAAAGTCTCGAAAAAGAGGCACTCTTCTTGCCCATGTGAAGTGGCAGCTGTAGGTTCTTGAAAGTTGCACCCTGACTTTATCTGTCTAGTGTACTTTCAGACACCGGTTATGTACTTCCAATGACATTTCTTTTTTCAGAATGCTTTTCTGTGAGCTATGCTAAATCAGGTTGCCCCTCTTCTAGACTGATTAACCCCTGACTCCATCTTTAACATCTAAGTCTTGCACTTTATGTTCATTGCTGTGTAAATTGATCTTTGCTTTAGACCATCATTCTGGCATTTCTGGATTTTTGAGTTTGTTTATATCATACAATTTTCTTTTTACACATTTAATTTCTTATGTTTCATGCTCTGTTTCTTTTCCAACATCAAGAGAAAGGTTAAAGAGCTTCAAGGCATGAGTTTAATTCTTTATTGCTGGAACAAATCTGGTAGGTCAGAGTCCTTTTTGAAACTTGTTGTAAGATACTCAGCAAATTAGAAATCCCTGTATTGTAGTGTCATCCATTTTTTCCAACTGTCATCTCTAGTTGTCATCTTTTAACTGAATTTGAACTTGTATTTCTAATCATTTGAACCATTTGCCTAGTTGGTCTAACATGCTTCAGCTGAACTTATACTAATTCACCCACTTTCTTGCCTTTGACACTCTTCTTCTTAGAAATGGCATTGTCATTTAGGCTTCCAAACCAAAAACACCTTAAATCCCCTTCAAAAAAAACCCAAACAGCCAACCAAGCAACAAAAGAAACAATTCTGTAGACAGAGACTTGTAAACATGGTTACTTCGAGGCTGAGGCATGAAGACCACATGTTGAAAAGCTGTCTGAGATCCAGAGTGATTTGCAGGCCTGCCTCTGTAACTAACTGAGAACTCATCTCCAAAAATACAACTCAGCCTCAGATCTAGCTCCATGGTAGAGTGTTTGCCTAGCACGCATAAGGCCCTGGCTTTAATCCCTGGTAATGATAAAAGCAAGTTCTGAGTCTTTTCAGCCCATTTTTTCTTTATTCCATATGCTAAGCAGTCCACCAGCAAGCATGCTCCTTGCCATTCAGAATCTGTCTCTGCCCATTCTCATCAATTCCTCTGCCACTAGCCTTTTGCTGTAGCAACTTTCTGAAGTCTCCTTGCTTGTGCCCTTGGTTCTCTAGAGTGTTTTCTTCTCATAGGTTTGCAAGGAACTGTTTTCAAACTCAAAGCAGAGGTAGGACGGTAGCTCGGTGGCGGAGTTCATGTCTGGGATGGACTGAAACCCTGATTTCTTCCCCAGTACTGCAAAGATGAAAGTTAAAACCAAAAGCAGAACCTCCAAAATACAGCCCTACTTAGGAGCCTTCACTGAGTAAATGCCTTTACAATGGCTATTAAGGTCTTATTTTGCCTCCTCCTCTCTTGGAATTCCTCTTGCAAATATACAGACCATTCTTTCTGTGCATGACACATGTGGTCATGTTGTTTTCGACATTCATAGTCCTGTTTTTTTTTTTTTTTTTTTTTTGTATGAGAGGCTTTTTCTAGGAAGATACAACACACATGTGCACACACATCTATTTATTCCCAGAAAGGATACCCATGACTGACTAAAGTAACAATTACACCAAAGCCCAACTTGCTAAATGAGTAGTTTTCTGGGGTTACTAGGAGGAGTATGGGTGAGGAGATACAGGAGCTGTGATGACTCACAAGCACCTATATTTCTGAAAGGCCCACATCAACATGGTTGATGACTCATAAAATCTGTGTCCCTAGAGTTCTTTTTTTTTTTGGTTTTTCGAGACAGGGTTTCTCTGTGTAGCTTTGGAGTCTATCCTGGCACTCGCTGTGGAGACCAGGCTGGCATGGAACTAACAGAGATCCGCCTGCCTCTGCTTCCTGAGTGCTGGGATTAAAGGCATGCGCCATCAACGCCTGGCTGTCCCTAGAGTTCTTGACATAAGTTAAAGGGAGCTTGACTTTTCTAAGAGATGACCCATGAACAGCTGGGCTGGTCAGTCTCCTTCTCCAGCAGTTGTTTTCTGCTCTCAATCTATGGATGGATATATACAATGTGATGCATACATACAGTAGAATATTATTTATCCTTTAAAAGAAATGAAATGCCAGTGCATCCTATACAATGGATAAGCCTTGAGGACACATTATGTTAAATGAAATAAGCCAGGCACAAAGGATCAAATGTGGTCTGAGACCATTCACATGTGATATCTCTAGTATTCTAGTAGTCAGATTCATAGTGCTAGAAAGTAGAAAGGGTATTATCAGTTGACAGTTGACGGCAGAAAATGGACAGCTATTGTTTGGTTTTAGTGAAGAGTTAAGTGCTAAGGTGGTGGGGAAAGAGATATAAAATGAATTGTAGAAGTGATGGTGATGCTGGAACAATGTGAATACATGTATTGTCACTTAAAAGTAGTTCAAGTCATGAATTTCATGTTTTGTGTAGTTTACCATATTAAAAAGAAAATATGGATCAAATGCAAATATTTAAAAATGAGTATCTTCAACAAACTTTTACACTGTGTGTAGAACTTTAATTGATTAAACTTTTCAGGATCAATTATTAGGCTCCAAAATTTAAGTTGTTTAAAAATGCTGCCAACAGGCTGGTAACACCTTAATTTTATATCCTGTTACTGAATTGGATGCACCATTAGTGAGGAGAGATGTCCTGGAGAGGTGGCATTTCTAAGCTTCTTTCGCTAAAACTTGGATGTTGTATATGAAAATGAAATGGGAAACAGGTGGTCCTTAGACAGTCTTCTGGCTTGACTGGCTCTGCAGTGTACTAGATCCAGCTGTGCTGCTTGCTCTTTCAGGTAGGCATGTCATGGACCTTGTAGAACTTGTGTCTCTCTTCCCCACGCTTGCTGGACTTTCGGGACTGCAAGTTCCTCCTCGATGCCCCATTCCTTCTTTTCATGTTGAGCTGTGCAGAGAAGGCCAGAGTCTCCAGAAGCACTTGCAGCTCCATGACTTTGAAGAGGATTCATACTTCCTTGGTAATCCCCGGGAGTCCATTGCCTATAGTCAGTACCCCCGGCCTGCAGATTTCCCTCAATGGAATTCTGACAAGCCAAGCTTAAAAGATATAATGATCATGGGCTATTCTATACGCACCATAGACTATAGGTATACTGTGTGGGTTGGCTTTAATCCTGCTGAATTTCTGGCTAATTTTTCTGACATCCATGCAGGGGAACTCTATTTTGTGGATTCTGATCCACTGCAGGATCACAACGTATATAATGACTCCCAACATGGAGGTCTTCCCCACTCATTGAAGCCCTGACTTCTGCCAGCCAAAGAGGACACATACATGTCCCCTTGTCCCCTTCTGGCTCTTGAAAGGTGGCATTAGAGATGGTTATCTTTTACTACCCATTGTATTAGACATAACCTGAGTGGGAAGCAATCAAAACATGCATCATTAATTTGACCTAGGACTATGTGGCAGACAAATCTTTTCATTTAGTTCTTAAGTTATAATTGATGATTGGATTTAGGCTAGGGTGAAACTCTTGCATTTTAAAAGCACTCATAGCTTAGGATAAATAAGTACAAAGTGAACTTACCAAAATGTAATCATACCTTTGTATATAAAATCCATGCTAGCTCCAAATAATACTGTACTCAAGAAATAATTTACTTGTTGAATTTAGTGGATTTTAAAAAGTAACCATATATCTTAGGTAGCCCAGTGTAGTCAAAACATGTTAACATGATTCATTTCTTTCTCAAATGTGAAATTAAGTAATAATTCTAGAAGCAACTTCTATATGGTCTATGTTCAACTTTTGTTTCTAAGATTACAGATTTCAAAATCAAAGGTAAAAACACATGGGATTATTAATACAGCATTTCTTTATTAAATAATAAATAATGCTTAGTAAAGTATAGGTAAAGGTAAGAAATTCAGTTAACTATTTCAATACTTGCTGGCCCAAATAATAATTTGTTAGTTAATAGTATAACTCTTGAACTCAGTGGCTATCTGTTAAAATGTCTGTTATTCAGAATGAAAACCATTTAAGATGTAACTATACCCATGACTTGAATCATTCAAAATCATATTCATATTCCTATTTAGAGAATTGCAGATACCCATTTATGCTGGAGGCTGGAGCTATTCTTTTACTCTTTGGTAAAGAAAACATAGATTTATGAAATGTAAATTATCTTGTGGCTTGTAGAAACTTCTCATTAATAGGGTATAAGTAACTTTTAGAATGTAGTTCTGCATTTCTTGCATATTCCCTAAATATGAAAGTAATAGGAAAGGTGTGTAATAGGAATAAGTTTATTTCATTGCCATTGTTAAAGAAAAGTCAATTCTATAATGTACCAAAAACTGTTCAGTTATCAGTAGTCAACAGCTTTTCAAAATACAGTGTATTTAGTCTTGTATTATATGAATAATTTCAATAATTTTCTCCTTAAAATGCCTCAGTGTTTCAAGATAAATGTTTGTAAAACAGAATATAGCAAATAGATAATTAAATTACTGTCATGTATTAAATTGTAACCCCAAAGCCAAGATATTATTTTTAAGTCTGTAAAATCTCAAAAACAGGTTGTTTTTACTTTTT